TGGAACTACACATAAACTTAATTTGCTGCATAGAAATTCAATGGGTATAAATACTTAAAATTATTGAAATTGAATTACCAAATGAGATAAAAATGTATTGCGATTATAAAAGAAACAAAAATTTGTACTCAAAATATCTCGCTTCACAAAGATAACAGAATTCTTTAAAACACTTTGTTTTATATGATACCACAATCAATAAAGTTTAAAAATAACAGGGATAATTTACTGCGAACCAAATTCCTATCCATTTTTCAACAGAACATCCCTCTGATCATTATTCGAGCTGTGGTATGATACCTGGCGCATAATGCAACAGTATCATAAATGATAACAATTATCATTTATGTCACTGAACTTATGACAGACAGAGAATAATTTATTCCATTGCATAAACAAGACGAGAGCGATAAATAGTTACGGCCTATACTACCACTCTATAATTTTTCTTTTGATATATAACAATTGTGTTTTATTAGAATTTTTGAAAAATGAAGCCTAAACTTGATGAAAATTAAATTTATCACCAATTTTTTGTCATAAAAACAAAATCATAATTACAAAATAAAGCTTCATGACAGGAAGAGAGAAACTGCGTTTAAATAAGTGAAGCAAACAAAGTAATGAGAACAGAAATTCATTATTTCGTGGTTTCAAGATATCAGATGGCAACGCACAGAAATTGTGTTACCATTAAATAAACACTGAGTTCATCAATTTAAAATTTACTATTCACAAAAATCTTAAGCAAAATATTTTCATTTGAAATACGCGAAAAATGTCTTCTTTTCTTCAATTTCTAACATTTCTTACCAGTTCCTGTTTTTCATATTTTCATTACATTTCTCATCAACTACTCAATAATTTATTACAATCCAATATTACAGTTTTTATGCTCTTGTTTACATTACTTTACTGCAAACCGTTAGTTAATATTGAAAAAACTGATAAAAATTCAAGCAATTCGCTCATAAGCTAACAAGCATGTGAGTAAGACATGTTAAGAAGCAAGTGAAAAAAGGTTAAAACTGTTGAAATCATGGAGAATTATAAAATTTAGCAAATAAGAGAACGATGTGGTAATTTAAGAGCGACTTTCCTGATCACTTGTTTGCTATGAGTAATAGCTACGTATAAAGAGATAAAAAACCATGATCTATAAACAGATAAAAAACAAACCATGATGATGTGTGTGCAATGATAGCAATGCAGTTTCTTGTCTCTAATTTTGAAACGAAAAATCTGCGTAGTACTCCAAAATTACTTGGGCTGAACTAAAAATTAGAAAAAAACTACTTAAATATCAAATTTCTTGATCCAGAATTTAAATTGACGCATTAATTACAACATATTTTGCAGTAATGAATGCAGACAGAAGTAAATGTTGTTGCAAGAGTAATCATAAAATTTGATTAAGCAAAGCTTTTTAATCAACGAGAATGATGCTGACGATGATCAACATAATGAAAAGAAAACTGATAGTATTGGTCTAGATTAGGAAGATGAATAATGATGGTAGTGCCTTCTTGAAAAAATGTTTCATGAAAAAATTAAATTTTTGAATTGTATTCAAGTACTTTAACAATTAATGACAAATGAAAATTATTAAGCATAATTCAACCCCGTAGTAAATGCACAGTAGATTACTAAATGACATAAGTTGATTCTAACTTTCCACAACAATCTCAAATCTTTCCTCTTCTATTCAATATAAAAGCAAAAAGTAACAAAAACTAATGTTAATGTGTGATTTTTGATCAAATTTTCCTTCCAGTTTATGTTACACACATTATTACGCATAGAATGGCATTCCTGTTATAAATGAAGCAAGAAAAAGAATCACTGAAGTGAAACAATTTAGAGTAACAAGGTGGAAAAGGTTAAGAAATCAATTTGCCAATTCAGATAACCTGAAAAACTGTAATAAAGAAAATAAATTCAAAAATTAATAGCAGAAAAAAAGAAGAGATTACACAGTAAAGTTTTATATTCAGCAAACAACTAGCCACTACCATTTTATGCCTTTCAAAAATTAGCTGTAATAAAATTATGATTAGTTAAAAATAACTAATCACAATTCTATTACAACTAATAAATGATAAATAACATGGTTATAATAAAGCTGAGATAACAAGGCCATGTAGGACTCACAAACACATGAAATTAAATATCCACCAATCGAGTCGATCGTCAGTTCAGTCGCTACTATCCTCCTACAGGGGTTTATCATCCATTTTAACAAAAGTGCTCCTCACATACAAATATCACATACTGCACACAAGAATGGTGAACTATTATTACAACTACTTTTAGAATTTACCATGTCTATCGCATAGAATTCTGGTCTAGAAAATGAAAGCAAGAATGGTTGCGACAAACGAAGTAGAAATATCAATATGCCATATACAAAGAAAACAGATTATTAAGCAAAATTTTTAGCTTTGGGAACAATTAATAAATACCAAATAATAGTTGTGATATGTGATAGGATATGACAAAATCAGCAATCAATTGAGCAATACGCGTCATAAACGATACGCTACAAATGATGATACTTGTGTAGTAAACAAACTCTCAATAAGATTTGGGATTAAAAATATACTGACAACAAACTTCTAATTATTAAAAAACAAAGTCAGGAACATTTGTTTCTAATTGAAATAAGACTTTTATAATACATGAAAATGTGAGCTTTTCCTGTTTTCAATTATTTTATAAAACAACAAAAAAAATATTCTCAACAACTATGATCAAACTGCTTCCACAGCATCACTTCAAAATTTAGGATTTTAAAATGCAAGTTTTACATCAACGAACAATCATTGAAGCAAAATTTCAAACCTGAGCACAAGTACAGTGATACTAAATATTCCTATATCTACGTAATTTTTAATCAATTTTCATCAAGATTACCAACCTTTTTTTTTCTCACTCCTCATCACCTTTATAGCACAAGATCAAAACAGCAATCGTATTCGAAAACAAAAAAATAATGAGCCTCAAGTAATCAAATTACAAGGTAGGACAATAAATAACTAGGATTATCATCGAAATATATTTGTTCCATTTGTAAGGAATGTAGAAGAGATCCCATCCTAAGGATGCGTATCAATTAAGTTAATAAAATTTCCAAGCATTTAAATGATTACATCACTGATTAATAACTCACTGTGATACAGCAAAATATAATTCAAACCCGAAATTATGCTAAATAGAACTCCTAATAACAGAAGAAAAAACTGAAGAAACCATAAAGGTTAAACAGAGGAAGGAAACTAAGTAATCATCTCAAGTCAACTATCAAAAATTAAAAAAGGCTTAATAAAATGCATGCTATCTAATAGAATGAAACACAAGCAACGACAAAAATCAATTTGAA